AAAACATTTGTTTGTTGTATGTTTTACCCCGCTACAGCGAAACGTCGAGATTTCTTTTGTTTCTTTTCTTTTTGTCGTCACTCAGGCACTTATTGCTCTCTCGAACACTCTCTGCAAGCGAACATTGCTCATCAGAGAAAAGGAAAGGAAATTAACTACTATCAGGACGACCCCTCAAAATGCCAACAAGGCGTCCCCCAAAGTTGAGTGCCTTTCTGAATGCAACCTACTTGAAGAAGGTGTGACCAGTGCCGCGGCTATTATGTGGGCTCTCTTTGTCATGCATTCTCTCATTTCCATATCCCAAGTTTATTTATATAGGAAATATAGATTGTAGCTAAACGATGCGTCTAAGGCCCGCCGCAGGACGTGATATTCAGCGACGTCACTATTCGCAACATTCAGCGATGGTGGTACCGCGGTGTGAGAATCGCGCTCCCTAGATTCTTTATGATCGGCTTCACAAAAAGGGTGCTTGCCGACACCTTCCAGGCGGGAAAAAATAAATTAAGGCTCTAATACTACTCGTATGAAGCTAAACTAGAATTAATTACGTGTCGCAGACCCCGTCTGGTACTGTTGTTCTACGACTATCATCAAAATGACAGCCATTTTGACAGGCGCCAGCGCGCCGCCTATAGGTCGTGAAAGTTGCGAATAACTAAAGCGGCCTCTTTTTTCTTTTGTCCCAGAAATGTTTTGTAACATGTATTAGTGATATTCTGCTCCTTATGGTTTTGGCTGCATAAAATAGCCCTGCGAGGTTTTCTTATTTTTTTGTTGTTTTGTGTCGTTGAGTGCTAATAAACCATTGTGGTAATCCAGATTTGCGCAACTGTATAATTGTGTTTCTCACTGACGTCTATCCAAAATACACAATGCGGAAGTACCTTCACAAGTAATTAAATTACATTTCTCAGTATTTGTAGTCTACTTAAGATACTTTACAGTGAAAGTAACTTGAGTAGTATTTTAAATACTTTATGAAGTAGGTATTTAGTGACTTAACTTAAATACTTTTATCGAGTATTTTGTCCAACACTGGGTCTACTCACTAATCATTTGAAGCAGAGTTAAGCGTTCAGACGCTCCCAAGCGTTCTCGTCCCCTCTTCTCCCTCAGTTTCTCTGCCATGGACTAACTTTGAAGGCCGTGCAAGCGCCAGACGCTAGCTTTGATCTAGCTTTGATTCCCTCAACTGGAGCACTCGCTGCACGAGCATTCATGCGGACGCCGAGGCTTCATCCAAAGCAACTAGCTCGCGCTTTTAACATGAGCTGCTAACAATAGTCCATGCTAAGGTGAGACGAAGTATACAGGCTTTGCAGCAGCTGTGCATGGGCGCCGCCATGACCGACTTTAAGTTTTTGTTTTTTCGTATTCCGTTTACTTCAATTGATCATTGCCCTAGCAGGCCAGGTTATTAGAGAGTTTTAGTAGATCGTTCCGATACCTCCGATAGCCCGATAACGATACTATGCATGCTCAAGGGAGGCGGTGGCGGAGTATCGGGTATCGTTATCGGAGGTATCGGAACGATCTACTAAAACTCTCTATTGTCACTTTAGATTCTGCTGTGTCTTTCTCCCTTTGTAGAGGCTCGTCAACGCCCGTTTCGGTGGCTCGGTATCTCGGTAAGACAAGAGAAGGTCAGCAATGGCGGCTGTAATCTGGCGCGTGTGCAAAAGGTCCATAGGGAGTATTCACTGGCGGCCACAGCTGTGTGCGCGACTGCTGAGCGCGTGTTGATGGCGCACTGCCACAGTTATTTTGCGACGTGCGATTTACGCCATCAACATTGCCGGTCTTAGCAGCCTGTTAAAGGGGTCATGAAACGGTATCGGGTTGGAATGTTAATAAATTTGCAGAGAGAAAAATATGGGATAAACTTTATTTCGACACGCCTTGTTCGGCGCTCGTTAAGAAAGTTCCGGTGTGTCTGCGATTCATCTTCTGGGAGGGTGGTCATGATGTGCTTAAGGAGAGAGCCGTACTGGTTCTAATCTGGCCACTCCCTAAAGATGATAACTGAATAAAATTGCCTTAGTTTTGCTTTCTAGGAAATGGCAGTCACAAAAAAAAAAAAATCGAAAAATATGAGCACCGTTGATCCCCTCAACTCGGAGCCAGAACAAGCGGCCAGGTTGCCTGTTGGCTATCCTACGCTGTCAAGGTCACCGTGGAGGAAACATTTAGGCGATGACTTTCTGTCCGACGGGGCGACCAAGACCAAGCCATCGAGCCCTTCACTCGAACGAATGGCCCCCAAGTATCGGGTCCTTCCCAAACCGATCGCTCCGGTTGTTTCTCTTAGCGGTGGTCCCGTGCCGCATTTCCTCACTCACTGCTTCTTGCTTTACCCACGGTGGTCAAGGTTAATCATAGCCACGCGCTGGCGCTGGAAAAGTAGGAACGCGGGCTGAGCTACAGGCATTGTTAGTTCGGCTATTGTCATTACCGCAGTAGTTGGACAGGAGCCACTGCCCGAGTGTCCGCGGAGGCAGTGATTGTTACGAGCCGAAGTCGAGTGCCCACGCAGTTCTCGTGTCCAACCCATGAGCCGCGCTCGACCGTTCTCCCAGGCGGGTGGTTTCGATCCCACAATTAAGTCATCAAGCTTCGTGGAGTCAAGACTGAAAGAAATAGACCCTTTTCATCCTCGTAATTTTACCACAACAAAGAACCTTCTGAATCAACGGCGGTCCGTGCGACTATACTTGAGCCAGACTAGGACTAGTACGCCTCTGCAAAGTAGTGAAAATTCCAACCCGATATCGTTTCATGGCCCCTTTAAAGCTCGGGTAATTTAGCAGAAAATCTATCGCAGAGTTAAGCCCGCCCGATGACGGCAGCCCTCTTGTAAAGTGGAGAGCTAATCTAATCGAGAGAAACTTCATATTTCATACTCAGTCTCACTTTTAAATGGAACCGCGCCGATGTTTCACGACCAAACAGCGCCCAAAATTGCAGCGTCACGATGATCGTTTTCTTTTTGGGTTTGTGATCACCAGCTAAAACGATCACGCACAGATATAAGCGCAGGATCATGGTTGATTAGTTTAATCGGCGACAGGGCGGATGCAGAAAGACGCCCAAAACTGCCCCTTGAAGAGACAGTTTGGGCGCTGCCTGGTTGCCTCCATTAAGGTCCCTTGGTACTCCTTTTACAAGTAACGACAACTAGGGTTGTGCGAATAGTGATTCGAATCGAATAGTGCTGCGTTATCTATCGCCTTAACAATGCAAGGAAAAGCCAAGACGGCCAGTTTTTTTAACAGTGAAGAAGCTAGGAATGACGCTTCGCTTTTCGATTCAAACTACTATTCGCACACCCCTAACGACAACCAATACAAATTTTAAAGCAAATTCCGCTGGAACAATATGGCGGCATTAAGTTCAAACCTCCGCTGTGCGCCGCCATTCGCTTCCTAAATCCTGCACTGTCACGTAGTCGGCGCTTCAAAGAATGTCGCTACTTGGAGGAAGCTTTTATCTGGGGACTTTAGCCTTCATCACATCGCGGTGCCGTTCCAAACATCTGCTGATCGCTGCGCAGTCAATGGGATATCCTGGCGGCATCAGCCGACCAGGCCGCCGATGAACAAATCAAGGAGTAAGGAGCAGGATCACGATAGGCGAAGCCCTGCGTTTCATTTAAATTGTCCGATACAATGATAAAAAAAAACAAAAAAAAAAAAACAAACAACGGATGCGTACTTGAAAGCCAGTGCAGGAATCCCTCCTGGAAGACGGCGATGTTCCGAAGCGCGAGCTGAGTGACGTAGTCCCTGACTTCCCATCCGGTCTTGTCTCGCTCGTCCATCCTGAAGCTGAATCCCGTCCGAAGCATCGTGTTCGCCGCGAAGGTTTTGCATATGGCTAAGGTGTCGATGGACTCGTCTTGGGTGCATGTCGTTTCGAGGACTTCCAAGAACTCATCGGTGCAGCGTTCCAGGAGGTGTGACATCTGAAACGGGAACGTCGCATACCTCTCGTGTATCGGCTGGTTCACGCACTTGCGTTTGCTTACGACCGAGCTCTTGAAATCTCTTACGACCAAAGAACAATCTAGCAGGCTGGCGGCATCAATGTGTTGATCATGGAACTTCACTTTAGTACAGCGAAGGTTCTGTACCGTTCCGCAGATCAAATGTAAGTACTATTTATGAGAAATGATCGTTTATAACAATGTCATGAGTCTTTCGAGCCAAGAAAGGAAGGATGATGCGCGATTAAAATGAGATATACGGTTGATAAGACTGCTGTTCAATATTCGACATGAGATATACGGAAATGCCGAATGTTCCACGGCTACCCGATAGGTGGTGCCAGTGTGTTCTTTCGTCGTAAGAAATTTTATCGAAGAGAGGGCAAAAACACAGGCGAGCTGGTGAAGAACTGCCATAGTAACCTGAGACACGGTACAATAAAAAAACGGACAAAATAAAACGACGACACCGATCGCAACCAGGTAGAATATTCAAAGGTATTAACATAGGCAAGCAAGGATTGTTTATGTTAGTATGACAGTATTAGTATGGATAAAATTAAAAGGGCGTTTTGGTTAAACACCTTGGTATGCGAACGCATAAGGAGAGAAGGGAAACACAAAAACACTGTCGGTGTCCGACGTGTTTTTGTGTGTCCCTCGTCTCCTTTTCCGTTCGCATGCCAAGAAGGAGTATAAGTATGTTAAAATGAGAGTATTTATACTTTAACATGTGGGAAAGACTATGCTAATACTTTTGAGTATTCTACATGGTTTTGATTGTTTCGTCATTGAGACTCGTTGTTTGGCCCCTTTTTTATCGTTCTGGTGTCTTGGTTACTATAGAAGAAATTTTAAGAGGTTCTAAGGCATACAGTCGTAAGCAGACGCAAGTGTGCAGTCTCAATTGTCACGCACATGGGAGCCCACTGCGTTCAATGAGTCCATGCCCAGAATTATAGCTGTCTACTCAGGCAACCAATTATACCTTTTTCAGATGGTTGGAGTTGTATGATCTGGTGCACACTCCACGGATGGTCCGCCATTTCTGACCCGAAGCGTTGAAGATATGTAACTTTCGGAAAGGATGATGAACAGAGAGCATAGATGTGATCTGCAGAAAAGCGACCCGTCATGTTGAGAGAAGATCCGAGACCTCATAAGAAACGCGGAGCGTGACGTTTATGTTCCTTGCCGGGTTAATATTTCTACGGCTTTATTCATCGGCTTGTAATCTTACTGGCTGGAGAGCGATGATAATGCTTGGGACTAGCCAGGTTTAGCCCTTCTTAAATGGACACTGACCCCCAACCCCCAATTTTTTTTTTTTTTCCATTTTTTGCTCGGGGTTTTATTTTGGTGTCGGAAAACTACCCAATTAATATTTTGCAATAGAGTAGCGTATATTTTGAATAAAGCCAAAAGACGCAACTGCTCGAAACCGAAACCTAAACCCGCGTACGGAGGTCGGAGAACTGGAGAGGAGAAAGGGAGTGGCGGAAGCCACGTGGCTAAACCCGACCATGCGCTTCCCTCCCCCCCCCCCCCCCTCCTTCCTTCCTCTGCGTAGCAGATGGTAGCAGACGACATGCGTGGCGGCGTAGCGGAAACTGTTTGTCGTGCGATTCTTTTACATTTATGTTTGTTCCGCTCGCTGTTCTGCACTCCAAAATGAGTTGTTTTGTACATTGAGGAGTTGGAGATAAGTAGTGAGTGCCCGTGGTGAATTTCCATGATCGGCTCCGAAAAGAATACACGCAAGATGTTGCGTGAAGAGCTGACTCACATGTCCTGCGTCCGAAAAAAGTGGCATTGTGCGACAGTTTCCGAAAGATCAACCTGATCGGGACCAATGGCTGGCTGCGATTCCTGTAGAACATTTACGGGCACCTCGGAAAGCGGACGCTACCTGATTTATATGCTCCTTGCATTTTGTGGAAAGTGATTACATCGAGTTCGCAGGTGTAACAAGGGGAATCCCATACCATTTGGTTCAGCGACGTTTCGTCCACAACATTTGCTTGTTATTTTTTTGTTTCTTCAGAGATAATTGTAAAGAAAAAAGAAATGTAAACATCGCAAAGTGTTTAAAAAAGAAAAGGTACGCTTTCACTGGGGATAAACCCGGCCGTACCGCATGTGAACCGGACATCTCTCCACTGAGCTACTGCGGGCACTCTTTGCTCAGTAATAATGCAGCTGGTAAACTGTAAGAACTGTAAGTTGAAAAGTTTGCTGCCGATTTTCCTAGCGCAAAAGCACTGCCGGGTCGAAGTCGGGAAGCACCACGCATTGGCGACATTCGCACCTAATAAAGAAATCGTACGCGTGCATATTCGACTCGAAGTAGACACGTCATACTTGACGTACGCGCGGGCGATGTCTTCAGCCACGAGATCGGAGCGACGGCTCGGCGACGTCTTCGTGCAAATCGGCTTGGTGGTCGGGCGTGTCGTACGGGGTGAATACCAATTTTTTTGATCAGTCCTAAACTCCTCTTTTAAAGGCAGACAAAATTCGCCGGTACCGCGAACGACAGTTCTGCCGTAGAGGTCCAGCGCGCGTCGTCCGCTGCCATCGCCGTCCCCGCGAGTCCCACGATACGCGAAACGACGTACGCACAGAATGCTTCCGGTTCTCTCTGGAACTTCTTTTTTTTTTTTTTCAATCAACGTATTTGCAGCTTTTTAGAAGCCACAAAAAAATAGGTTTCATATCTCTTTTTTATTTTTAATATTGTGCGTGCCTTAGTGACCAACGACTTTGATTAAATTTGGTGGTCGCGTCGAAACCTTAGTAAACGGTTTCGTTTTCTACTTCACACGCCGCAGAAGCGGAGAAAAAAAATACCGTGGTCGGGAGTAGCCACGTGACTTCCGGCCATGAGCTTCCGTGCTCGTGTTTCGGTTTAGAGCAGTGAACATGATTGCGCTTTGAAGACAGGGACATAGGAAGAACAGACACCACAGAGCGCTAACTTTCAACTGATTTAATTGAAGAACCTCAGCGTAGAAACACACTGTGTCACCGCACCACATCTCAACCAATCCGTGGCCCCGCCACTGCCCGCAAGTACGCTAACTCCTTATCCGCTAAGTCAATTGACGCCACACTGACATAACACGTGCCGGAACTATTTATAGCCGTCAGCCTCCATAATCTCTCTAACAGCCTTATCTTTTTGTCTAGCGAGGACAGTAGAAGAAGGAAATAATCGTTTGCACCCGCAGTCATGACAGTGACACGACAGATGGCCATCCCGAAACCCGTTCACTTTCTGGTAGTGTTCCCTCAGCCGTACATTTAAACATCTGCCTGTCTGTCCGACATAAATCTTGCCACATGAAAGCGGAATTCGGTACACCACCCCTTCCGTGCACGCGACAAACGGAGTCCTGTGCTTGATTGGGCAGCCCGTCGGTATACCTTGTGGAATGATCTGTCATCTTGCACATTTTTGCGAGCTTTTCGAGTGCAGAGTAAACAACTTTTACGTTTTGCGGAATAGATCTATCGCGTCTATGTCATGACTGCGGGTGCAAACTATTATTTGCTTCTTCTACTGTTCTCGCTAGACACAAAGATAAGACTGTTAGAGAGATTATGGAGGCTGACGGCTATAAATAGTTACGGCACGTGTTGTGTCAGTGTGGCGTCCATTGACTTGGCGGATAAGGAGTTAGCGTACTTGGGGTCAGTGGCGGGGCCACGGATTGGTTGAGATGTGGTGCGGTGACGCAGTGTATTTCTACGCTGAGGTTCTGGAATTAAATTAGTTGAAAGTTAGCGCTCTGTGGTGTCTGTCCTTCCCATGTCCCTGTCTTCAAAGCGCAATCATGTTTTCTAACGTACCATACCAACTTGCCCAACAATCAGCACTAGAGCAGTGAGTTTTCTTTTTTTGCTTTATTAAAATATACGTGACTATATAGCAAAATATTGATTGGGTAGTCTCCTGGTACTATATTAAATCACCTGGCAAAAATAAAAAAAAAAGGTTTTTTTTTGTTGGTGGGTTTCAGTGTATTTTTAATGTTTAATTGGCTGTGGTGAGTGCGAAGGGTGTGAAGCGTCCAGAACAGGGAAAACCACCTTACCCCGCGGGAACTGCAGTCTTTAAACTTGGCGATTTGAATTTGTTTAATAGCGTCGAGGTCCTTGATTAACACCATGGGTACTCTTCCATTGTAAAATCTAAAAGACGCAAGGAGCATGAAAAATCTTTACTTAAATTTGAAAATTCTTTCAAATGTCGTTTTATTTAATGGGGTTCCGTGTCTTCGGCATGTACCGAATTAAGCCGGAAAGCAGCCTCCCAGCCGGGCTGTGTTTCGAGTCGACATAAGTAGAACTGTATACATAAATATTTTCTGCCCTTTAAATGCTATTTATTTAATAAATTACAGGGCTGAAAGATAAAGGTCTATAAAATTTTTTTTTTATTTTCCTCGCTTTTTATAAAATTACCTGGAGGGTTAATTTTATAGGTCTATCGGACCTTTGGAAAAACACGGAACCCTGTATAGAAACTATAATATTTGTTAGAACTGGTGAAGATCGTAAACTTAGCCGCTGGAACGTATATTCATTATACACACTGACTTCGGTACCACTGATTGAGGGGCAAATATCGCTTTAAGGTTTAATGTAATAACCGCACGTATGACTGCGCGATCAGTGGGCTTGCAACGGGGATCAAGCCTGCTATAATCTTATCGATAAGAGTGCGCGTTCACGTACCCTACGACAGACCCGTACTTCTGCGTCCATTGTTTGAATGTCACCACAATTCCCTAAAAGGTAATCGAGAAACAGAATAATAAAGCTTTGATAGTTCCTTTTTAGTAAAACATGTATATAGTGCCTTACTTTCGGTCCTACTTTCTTAAAGCTAGCCGCATTTGTCTGTAAGAGCACTCGTTGAATGCGCTCGAATGCAAGAGCCAAACGCCGGCGTTCTGCGTTCGAACGCATTCGACGAGTTTAGTTTAGACTAAGGCAGCTAGCTTTAGGTCTACTTACACTCACTGAATGCTCCCAGAGTACTCAAGCTCGTAGGCTTTGATAACGCCAAAATAACAACTCAACTTTTTTTTTTTTTTTTTTTACTGTGGTTATTGCCAGTTTTTAGAAAGCACGTTTTTGCGTAAGGACAAACGGGAAAAAGCTTTTTGTTGGAATTTTTGTTGGAGATTAGTACAAGATGACAAGAGCGTGACGTTTTTCCAACATTTTAGTTTACAATGTCCTGCGGCACAATTGATATTGCTTTTATGCAAGCATGTCTCACCGGTGATATCAGGTCCCGACCCGGGCGCGTCCTAACTTGTGCATTATTTCGCGGCGCGTCTGCTTGGGAGATCGGGGGCTGGGCGTATCACCGTATACGTTTTGGTCCCAAAATAGCCGATCAAAGCTAAATGGGAACAGCCACAGCGGGCGTTGTCAAATGCGATATTCTGGGAACATCCAGTGACTCTAGGTCCTACTAATCATTCCGACCAAGGCTGGGCGTTTTGACGCCACTTTGTGCTTTCGTCTCTTTCACAAAACGACGAGGGGAGTATTTTAGGCAGTCGGGTATCTCAATCAATCCTACCTTCTCCACCAGTTCGGGCAAATTTCCGCTGATAATGTTTGGCGTTGGTCCAGGAATCCCGAGAGTCTCGAAGAGCGTGAACTTCCGTTTCCGCCAGCTAAGTTGATAAAAAAGAAAATCATAATGAAACAGCAATAATTATAGTAAAAATGCGGTCTAGTCATTCTACATTCCACACTGGAAGCAATGCACACCCTTAAGAGTGTAAAAAAAAGGTGTACATTTATATGGCGTCTTCCATTGGGTCCATGGGTGCGCACTCGGTGCGCACCAGATAGCTGTCACATGCTCCATTGAGCCGCACGCCACCGCTTACAGTTCCATGTAGCGGTGCCCGACCGAAAAAAAAAAAAGAGGAACGGTTCTAATGTCTCTGCCTGGCCGTCTTCAGGATAGAAAAATCTTGCGGTGTCGGCGCCCCGTCGCAAAGTGTCATTCTAATGTACGCTAGAGGTTCAACTGGCGCTAGTAGAGAGTTTTAGTAGATCGTTCCCATGACTCCGATAACGATACCTGATACTCCGCCACCGCCTCCCTTGAGCATGCATAGTATCGTTATCGGGGCTATCGGAGGTATCGGAACGATCTACTAAAACTCTCTAATGTCTACGCGACTTTCGGGATGCAAACTGAAGCAGACAGAAACCAGTCTTTTTTTGTGCTGCCCCTGTGCATTCCTATAGAAAAACACGCGTGCATTTTCCCTCTTCCCCGGGGAATCAAACGTGGATCGCTTTTGTTATTTGGGTCATACCAAATAGTATATACTTTATTGTCGTTTTAAAGCTGTAATTGCTTTAGTTACAGTATTCGTATTTATCAATGAGCGATGGTGAAACGTCTTTATATTTCAAGTCCAACCCTGTGTTCCACAGCAGGTGTGTTAAAACAGGCGATTGCTCATGTGACAGTCCTGTCAAAATATGAAAATGATTCCCTCGTTTATCTTTACGTGGGGTTGAAAACCTTAGAAGCGCAAAAAAATGAAGTACTTCGGCTATGGGACTTTTTCTTCTTAATTTTTTTATGGCGAGCAGCTTTTATCGGGAACCGGTTTTCTAGGTTTTCCGTATTTTTAAAGACTTCGAGCGTGCGCGTGTGATGTTTTGAGCGCAGAAGAAGCATCTTCGCACATATACATGAGCAGAGAGAATAAGCAATACTTATTTATTGCAAAAAGGACCATGCTTCCGTGGCGTTCACTTTATTTTGATCGTCTTCATGCATGGATTACTGATTCAATGTTAAGGCGTAGTTCTCGCCGTCTCTTTTGGTTGTCTAGATGTCCATCGTTGGTTCGGCACGGAAATCCCCTCTTTAGAAAAAGCGCGGACGCCGTGTTGGCGCTAATAGTGTCCGACAGTGCACATATATGCAATATAGAGCCGTTTTAGCACTGTGTTTATTCCCACAAATTAAAAAAAAAGCAACACACTGTAACTGTTTATTATATGCGTTTACGATATTGAAAATTGTTCAAGGTATTTACTGCGTTATAATATTCTGTCGTCGTAATATTTTCTCTTGTAAGTTATAATCAAGAGCTGAGAAAAAATGGACCCGCTTTTCCCCATAGGATGTAAATGTTTAACTGGTGGCTGTCTTCAGTCAAAGTACACTTGCATCAGTCAAACCTCTATAGCGTACATATTGTACTAACTATATGGTCTATCGCTGCGACATCCGTGTCACGAGTTCGTAAAGGTACTTTCCCTGACTGCATTGGGCACCACCTCATTCTCAATGAAACACAAATTAAAGGGGCCGTGTGCAACGATATTGGGCAGGAACGTATCTCACTTTACACTCAGCTTACATAGAGGGACCCAGGAATACTCGAACGCAACGCCACTGACCAAGAAGCGGTGAATTTCCAAAGACAAAGGCAGATCTTCTCTCTCAGCCTCTCCTTCGCAAAATACGATGACGGAGCTGTGGGGACAATGACAACAATGCGATCCCCCAGGAGTGCGTCGTCAAGGTTTGCGATCCCCGCTGTGACGATATTGAAATGATGCTTGTACAGTGGACACGAAGTCTGCGTATAGGCATTCGATTTTGGCTCGTCGCAATCACTGCTTCGACACGCATTTGGGACAAAAAGAAAAGTTCCGCTTTTGTCCTTAGAATTCCACCCCACGAAGTGGCTTCTTGGCGAGTGGCGTGGCGTTCTTGGGTCCCACTAGACACTAAACATCGTGACACCAATAATCGTGTAAAAAGGGTGAAAGGAAATACGCCCTTTTCTTAGGGCGTTTTGCTACACCAACAAGGGTGTTAGTTGAAGGACAAGCCATTTACACTTTCAAGGGTGTAATGATGTTTAGTGTGTAGTGCGACTAAGCTGGTGCAAAGTGAGAAACCTTCCTGCCCGACATCTTTGCGTGGCCTTTTTAAAGATATTGGCGGCGTATAATCTGCTCCAGATGACGTGGCCGCTTTTTGTGGCAGCGAGATGAGGGGGCAAACGGCCCTTACAAAAAAAAAATGAAAGGAGTTTTAAGTGAAAGTGTAAAACATACACTTCGTACACCGCGTTGAGCCTCAATTGAAAGCCAATAGGTATTTTTCTTTTGCGTAATATTGAACCTGCACAGTGATTGGCCACTGCGTTCAATTAAATTTTAAGCAATTGCATTTTAATTCAATATTTGGCCATAGTGTTTCAATCGAATTTTTGCGATTGAGTTTCAATAACATTTTTTGCAACTGCGTTAAAAAACAATCCGTCAGGGTGTGGTGAATATTTACATTATAATTTCTTAAAGCATGGAACATGGAGGAAACAAAGCACATTCTTATCGGAGCGCATCTTTGCGCCCGCGGTCCTGCCCCCCGGTGGTCGCGGCGCAAAGCCACCCCGCCTCCCTCGTAGAAAGGAGGGAAGTAGAGCGTACGTGTGTTGCGCGTCTCAGCCACTGGAGGGCAGAACCGCGGGCGCGTAGATGCGCTCCGAGAAAGGGAAACTTAGAAACGCGTCCAAATTGAGCATTTTTACGGAGCGCCGTAATATACTGCCCCTGCGTTATCCTCCTAAAAAGAGTCGATTTAGTGGTTTTCGATGACGCTGAGCAAGTTTCTAATTGGAACCATATGCCTATTTTTATTATTTAGGGCCGGTTGCACCAACGCCTCTTACCTTAACCCAAAGCGGCACTTTCCTAAGCCGGCTTAGCGCCCTAAACCGAGTTTAGGTAAGCACGGGTTTAAATTCCGGTTGCACGAACGTTAAGCCGGCTTTACAGACGCGCCCCTAGCTAAACCCTGGATTTGCGTAGGGAATCTAGGGACAAACAGAGCGAACTAGGGAACGCTCAGAGGGACGAATACGATTGGCGGAGAGAAATCACGTGACGTAAACAAAAAAAAAAAAAAATTGCCGCAGTAGTCGTCGTTGGCGTCTGCTTTTCGCTGTATTTCTTCGGTGAGTAACAAATTAAAGATCTCCAAATTCAATCATTTTTTCGTTTAACTTTCAATAACAGAAGTCAAAGGTTCAAATAAACACGAATGCTCTTTACATCTGTGATTGTGTGTTTAATATCGGTTGATAACAGGATATTTTGACAGTGGTAGTAGTTTTCGTGCTCACATTTTGAGCTGAAGGAGCCATCGGGGGCCCCAAATCTCACCGAACGCGAGAAGGACACTCTACTCGCTACATCGCTGAAGACAAAACATCATCGATATAAGTAGGCAGGTAAGATGGGTACTAAAACCAAGTCAAGCCTGAGACCGATGAAATTCAAAACAGTGACGAACTCGCCACGGCAGCTGCGAAAATGCCCGGAAATCGTCGAATAGAAGTCGTCGAGAGGTCAGGTCACGAGACCTTACATCGACGGTACTCGTTGCTATCAGCAAGGTGACAGAACTGCACCGTACCGTCGTTGAACATCCGCTGCAGCCTCAAACGGACTTTAGTTTCACACTGTCGAGTTCAGAAAAAAAAAACAAAAAAACTCCCACTAGTACATCACATCGTGCCGATAAGAACGGTCGTCTCTTCGCATCGCCTGCCCCAGCCTGCCCCGATACAGCAATGAACGAATCTAGCACAGTAGTCGTTACGATTTGTCATCGCCACGAATGAAAGATATAAAGCAAAATATTCCTAAAAAATCGCGATCACCAAAAAAGTTACGGTTATTTATTTATTTATTCATATTACCCCTGAAGGCCCTCGTTAGAGGGTTTTACATAGGGGGTGGAACGATACAGTTTTCTGAAGCCAAGATTCTACTCGCGAGAAGAGGAAAATTCGCTGAAGATTGTCTCAAAACTCAGAAAACGAAGGAAATAGAATTTTCGTTGTTTTATTACTTAAAAGCGCCGCAATCTAATGCGAACGGCAGAGGTGTCGACAATCAGCTGATCGCCGAGATGATGTACTGCCACTATTCAACGCGCTGATCGAATTGAAGGATACGCGCTGCAAGTGTAAATAAACAAGGTGGTAAATAACAATACGTTACGGTTCTGCGAAAATTAGTAAGTACATACGAATAAGCTCGTTGACAGAAGAACGAACGGGAAGACAGACGTGAGCCCCACAGACCCACAGCTCCGTACGTATCTCGGTTAGGGCTAACGCGCCCTGAAAGTGGAGAGCCGACTTGAAAACAGTGTCGATAAACACTTCACGCGACAATATTTTGCATCCTTGTCACAATCGAAGGTCATTCTTTCGAAACTTTCAGGCTGATGTAGCCTAAAACACTTTGCACAACCAATTTCGTCGACCGCGACCATGGAGAATAGAAGGGAAGGAGAGGGCATGACGTCAGCCGCGTAGCCTCCGCAAGCCATGCTCCCTTGACACCTCGCCTCTTTCGCATTTTTCTCCTCACTCTCACCACACCACGTGACCGTAGCTAGCCTTCGTCTAGCTATGGCGTACTAGAATACACCACAACCTAGCCTTCGATCTGATAAAACCTACCGGACGGAGCGCGCGCAAGCCTGCAACAATCCTCGATCCTACAATCAACCATCCATCTCGCTCGTGACATGTCACGCGCACCAATC